CCTAACCGTACCCCCTTTACCCCATTTCACCCCTGTCCCCCACTCTAACCCTCATTGGGACTATAATTAGTGGGAGGAGTTAGAAATTTCAAATTTTATAATTGTTGCATGGTAAATATGGGTTGATATGAATGGGGGATGATAGAATAAATTATTGGGGGAAGTACAAATTTGCGGTTTTTTAGAAAAATTCATGGGGGATTAAAAACATATTTACAAATTAAAACCATGGTTACATGGTAAATATTTCAGATTTACATCGTAAACACAATGGGCGCATGGGATTTGGGGATTTAAAAATTTGCAGGTCCAAAATTCATGTTTAAGAATCATTACATATAATTTGTGGTTAAAAATTCGCAATTTAAAACTGGATGACAAATGGTACTGTAAAATATGATAAATAAATACATTGGGGCCTATGAAAATTTAGTACATACAGGGTAATATCAAAATCCATGGAAATGGTATTTTTTAGAGTTAAAATGAAAGGGCAATATACATAGAAACAAAACTGACTGAGAAAAGCGAATGGGATTTTAAACTGAACAGAGGGTATAAAAGGAGCGGATACAGCGAGGGAGGGCATTTCGCCTTTAGACACTGACAGAGCAACATCTCTGACACATAGAGACACTACAATTTTCATTGTTTTTGTGCCACAGCCTGAAGAAGGCCCTTTTCAGGGCCGAAACGTCGCGGCGGCACACTTTACAAATTAGATTACTTTAATTCAGTTTTTATTTGTTTTTCTTTGATTTTATTTTTGTATTAACGCTTATAAATAAATAAATTGATAAAAACATCAATAAATAAATAAATACATTAATAAATACATAAGCACGTTTGTTTTCATTTTGTCTTCATTATTACGTATATAGCAAAGGCGACATTACACACAATAAATCATACGGCCGGATGGCTGCATTTGAGGATGATGGGTGGACAGTGGTCCGCCGTGGGAGACGCCAGCGTCGTCCCGGGCGGTCCAACCTTCAGCAGCAACGGGTCACCTGGGGGATGGACCGTGCATTTCCTCCTGCCCTCGAGAGAGGGGGGAGGGGTCAGTTTTTCTTCCCTAACCCCCTAACCCTAACCCCTAATAAAAAATATTTTTAAAAAAAAATTCTTTTGGGGCCTGCTGCAGGACACTTGGACACGTCAGATGGGCGCAGGTATGGCCTGTGCATTGGAGACTCCCAAATTTGATTTCCCCTAACCACCTTTTACCCTTTGCTGGGATGATCCTAGACCCCAAACTCAACCCTCTCTCTCTCTCTTTCCCTCTCTCCCTGTACTTCAGACTCAGGATGTGAAAGAAAGCCGTTTTCCAGGGCAGCAAGTGTGGGACATGGGTCCTTGAGTCAGGAGCAAGGATGGCCCATGCATTGGTGCCCAGTTTCCTTCGGCAACAGAGCCCCCATTTTCTTTCTTCCTAACCCATCAACATCACTCTATTCAAAATGGCTTATAATATGGTACAATATTAAAAACATTTTATTTACACCAAAAAATATTTTACACAAAACAAATACAGTTAAAAGGGTTACATATTAAAAACAATAGATTTTACGATGTTTAAATTGAAATATGCAGGGAAACTTAAAAAGAGTTTACACAGAGAGGGTTAATACAAGTTTGAAAAGAGGGAAGGGTATAAAGGGATGTGGAGTCAGCCGGGAACTTATTTCGAGTTGGAACTCTGAGGAGTGAACATCAGCAGCCTTGTGCAATTAAGCCACATTCTTTTTCCTTCTTTCAGGAATATAGGCTATCCTGCCCAGTGTCAATGTACAAAGAAGAGTGTGGAATGATAATCAGTTTTTTATTAATGATTGTTAAATATTTTTAAAGTGGATTAAAAAAAACACTGATTTCTGAACAATGCATAACAGAAATAATTCATATTGCTAATCATCATACAAGGCTCTTATGTTTAAAGTTAGTTACAAAACGTTCAATAAGAGCAGATTCTGTCAAATGATTATGTATAATTACTCAGAGATCCTTTCTGTCAGGTATCCTTCTCTTTAACGATGGAATCACTGTGGTTCTCATTAGCGCTGAGTCCCGTCTTAGCACGAGCTGGCGGAGTGAACAATGGAACTCCTCCATGTGGGCGATTTGTGTTTTGGCCAGCTCTACTGAATGGCTGGTACTGTGAACTGAGTTCATGCTGTTCACATAAAAACTGTTTCCTGTTATCTCTTCTCCTTTTACAGCACAAGTAAATGATCTCCATTATATTCAGGAGCACTGAAATGCCTGAAACTGCAAGCATAAAAAAGATAAAGATCGTTTTCTCTGTGGGACGGGAGACCATGCACTGGGCACCAGCCATTTCGGCGCAAGGAGACATTTTACAGTGGAACTTTAAGTGAATGAATGGAGAACCAAAGATAAAAAACTGGCTCACACTAAATCCAACTTCCAGGAAGATCTTTAAAAAGAGCTGTGTCACATACGTGCAAAAGAGTGTCCCTTTTAACTTCACCTTTCCACGATCATCCGTATATTTACGTTTCTTTAATTTAATTCCATCAACACCATCCTGCAGCTGTTCCATCATTTTTTTCTCTTTATGAATTATGTGTACAGCATATCCCAGAAAGACAAGGGTAGGAGTTGACACAAAGGTGATCTGCAGGACCCAGTAATGTACAAAGGATATTGGAAACTTCCAGTTGTAGCAAGCATGTTCACATCCTGGTTCCTGAGTGTCACAGTAGAACTCTGACACTTCATCTGCCCAAACATTGTCTGCAGCAGCACCTAGGACAAAGATCCGGAACAGGAAGAGGACGCTCATCCAGATCTTGCCCACTATAGTTGAATGAGATTGGACCTTGTGTAGCAGTGTCAGCAGGTAAGACCAGTCTCCCATGGCTGAAAACTAATTTGATATATGGAGGAAAAACACAGTTAGTACACTTAAATCACTATCCCACCCACCAGTCTGAGCCATGGTCTGACTATCCCTCATCACACTCACACACACTCTACTCAGACCAAACAATTTGCAATATGTTCTTCTAATTTGTTTCTCTTTTTCATCGACATTGATGTGTTTCTTGGAGAGAAAACCTACAAACATACAGTACAGAACTTCAGAGTCACACTGCTAGCGATCGAAGATTTATGTAAATTTGACAAGCTTAGTGCTTAGCTTGGTGTACAGCCGATCAGGACGCAGCACACAATGTGCTGTACAAAAAAAAAAAGCATGCAAAATTGCACACAAAAAGAATCCACGAAACAACTAGGCGGGCGAACCGTGATATAGCGAGAGACCACTGTATTTCCTTTGTGATTTCCTTGTCATAAGTCACTTGTTTTAACATAAAGTTTTTGACATTATAAAGTGTTGACGTTATTCCTGCTGTCTTACTATATTTTTACTAAATTTTATTTTACTTTGTTTACTATGTCTCCTTAGTTATTAGACTTTTCTTCTCCTCTGTGTAATTTGTCTTCTCAGACTTGAGACATAATCACAGGGATGAAGACATGAGGGGAATCTCAGAAAAAACAAACTATAACGGCAACCCAAGCATAATAGAAATGAACTTAGATAACCTGAAGAACTTAAAAATAAACCATAAACGTCAAAATACATTAAAATTCAAAACGGTGGATCAAATGACCCAGGATCATGACATCATGGTCATGCTCTTGTTTGCTTACCTCATGTTATAGTTTTGCATGATCCTGTTCAGGCCATGTTCATGTTCATGTCATAGTTTACATGTTTAGCTTTAGTTGATCCCAGTTTAGGTTTCAGTTCAGTCTTTTGCCTCAGTTTGCCTTGCCTTGTTTTTCTGCTTGGATATCAGCCTTAAATAAAGAGCTCGCCTTTTGTTATACTTCATTTTCTCTCCCAAGTCTGCTTTTGGGGTTGCTCCTCGTGAACCCCCCATCCCACCCATAACAAGTACTATATATCCGAATTTCCCAGAGGAACCCACCCGAGGGATTAATAAAGTTTTATCTTATCTTATATCCTCCTGTTAGACTGTGATATGGCTGTTTGAAAGAAAATAGTGAACCTTTTTCAAATTGCACATTACTTGTCCTGTTATTATGTCATTAAATGATGGACAACTTTCATGCAATTTATCAAACTATTGACCGATGTACTCCTGTAAAAATCTATTAATGTATGCAATCCACAATTTACAAACCAATTTTATAGTCTATAAAAAAATCTACTGCTGTAACACTGAAAAACAAATCAGCCAGACAATCCTACATCTCCCAACTGGTAAACAATAACCAGTCTAATTCTGCTTTTATTTTATTCACTGATAATCGATTAATCCCTGATAAACTATTAATACTACTACTGCTTTTAATACTACTGATAATAATCTGAAGATCTAAAAGAAGTTTAACATCTTCCTAAAGTCAGACATTTTCCCTGCCTCCTTTAAATGTGAGGTAACCACACCACTTCAAGAAAAAGCACATAGAATCACTAGTGAGCAAAGATTGATCACTAGTGATTCTACGTGGTTTCTAGTGGTTCTATGTGGTGATTGGCTCACATCGTATCCAAAGGGTGGAAGTGTTTATTTTTCAGTCATCAGTTTTAGATTTGACAAAAAATAAAACTTTATTCAGGGGTTCCTCAAGGGTCTGTCCTTGGTCCATTACTGTTTAACATTTACATGCTCCGACTTGGTGCTGTCATAAAGAATAACACTATATTCCACCATTCTTATGAATATGACAGATAGTTGTTTGTCCTCACTTTTCTCTGATGATCTAAAATCTCTTCACAAACTAATAAGCTTGAGATCTTTGAACTGCTACCAGAATCAGAAAAAGTATGCTTCCAAGTTGTTTTCGGGCGATCGTGGCTCAAGAGTTGGCAGTTCGTCTTGTAATCGGAAAGTTGCCGGTTCGAGCCCCGGCTCCAACAGTCTCGTTGTTGTGTCCTTGGGCAAGACACTTCACCCGTTGCCTACTGGTGGTGGTCAAGAGGGTTCAAGGTTCAAGGTTCTTTATTTGTCACATGCATAGTTATACAAGTATAACACACAGTGAAATGTA